GTCGAGAATGGAGAGTGTTGACATGTCATGGGATTGTTAACCAATGTCATAAAACAATATGTGTACTGACTGTTTAATGAGAAATTATTTGTTCTGTAAACCTTCATCTAAAGTACAATAAAAAAATTAAAAAAAAAACAAACAAACCAACAAAACTCCATTGCCATTGAGTTGATTCCGACTCATAGCGACCCTGTAGGAGAATGTAGAACTGTCCTCCAGGGTTTCCAAGGAGGGGCTTGTGGATTTTAACTGCCAACCTTTTGGTTAGCAACTGAGCTCTTCACTACGCTACCAGGGCTCCGGTATAAAAAATAACAGATATAAATAACAAAATGTTGCTGTTGGATGCCGTCGACTTGATTCTGATTCATAGCAACCCCATGTGACAAAGTAAAACTGCCCCATAGGGTTTCCTTGGCTGTGATCTTTATGGGAGCAGATCACCAGGTCTTTCCCCCAAGGAGCCAGTGGGTGGGTTCAAACCAGCAACCTGTCAGTTAACAACCGAGCCATTGCCCCTCGAAGGCTCCTAAGTAACAAAGTAACAGGTCTAAAAATAACAGGTATAAATAACAAAATATCAGGTGATGAAAACACCTCCAGCCGCGGGCATTTATTGTGTCAGGCTGCGACTGTCTCCATTCTCACACAGGGGAGCCAGTCACCGATCGTTCAGGACTCCATTGAGCATCTATAGTTCCCCAAGTCCTGGAGAGTCGGGGCATGGGCAGCGAGGCAGGGTGCTGGGCAAGTGGTGGAGAAGCCCAGGAAAGGACCAGAGGTACAGGGACAGTCTCTGACCACAAGCAACGCCTCTTCTAGGAGAGGAGCTCCTGGAGCTCACCTGGACCACCCCTCAGATTCACAGGTGGAGAAACTGAGGCCCAAGTGAGCAGTGGCCCAGCCACACTCAAGGATAGAGCCAGGTCTCCTGAGCACCCTCTACAGGCTGTACCTGGTCAGTGGGACTCACCCTGCCCACATTACACCTGTCACAGGTTAGCAGGTACCTTCTGGGGCCAGGGATGCGCTGGCAGACCATGGGGAAGGGATGGGGGAGTTAGGACTGACACGGGGGAGGGGCACACAGCCTATGACCACTCCCGCTGACATCACCCCCTCCTCCCAGCACCCGCAAGGGCCTCCCCAGGTGGGAGCCTTTGGCCCCCAGCCTCTTTCCCTTCCGGGAACGGAGTGACAATTCAGCCAGGACTGTGCTGGACCCCTGCCATCCTCCTCAGCAAGAAGGAGCCCTGCCCTGGCATCAGGCCACCTGGGGCGAGTCCAGCCTGGACCATGGGTCACCTGGTGACCGGGGACAAGTTCCTTCCCTCTCTGGGCCTTAGGGTGGCCTGGGGGACCAGGGGCGCACCATCCTGAGTCACCCGCGGGGTCTATGAGGATGGAGCAGGACGGGACAAATGCAGATGCTGGTAGAAGAGCCATAAACACAACCTGGGCAGTGTTTCCAGAACATTCTGCAGCCCCTTCCCCTCCTGGGCAGTGTTTCCAGAACATTCTGCAGCCCCTTCCCCTCCTGGGCAGTGTTTCCAGAACATCCTGCAGCCCCTTCCCCTCCTGGGCAGTGTTTCCAGAACATCCTGCAGCCCCT